ACTAGAAGCAAGATGTGAACAGCATATGAAAGGTTGTGGTCACACTGTGCCAACAGTGCAAAGGGAATGAGGGGGGTATAAACAAATAGGACCTGAGCATACCGACTATATTCACAGCATATACATGCTCCAGTCCTTGTACCTGCACACTTTGCATTGAAGAGAGTTCTGGATTATTATTATCTGTGTGCAGATTTGCAGGGAGTCTCTCAGGAGCTATAAGCAAGCAGAGAGACTCGAGATGAATCATACCCAGGGGCGGACTGGCCATTCAGGAACTTGGGCACTGCCCGAGGGCCCAGGGTCAGTAGGGTGCCCCATGAGATGCCCCTGGTACCTTTCATAGGCTTTATTTGGGTATGGTTTGAGTGTGGGTGAGGACACAGGGGCCCCATGATCTCCTATTGACTGGGGGCCCCATGAGTTGTTAGTCCGCCCCTGATCATACTTGTGCTTATTGCACACTAACACTGCATCATTTTCCCCCACCGCTTATTTCTGCACCCCTGTACAACCCCACATAATGCAGCTCCCTTCAGACTCACATACAGTACAGCCCCCCACACATATATACACTCACCGGCCACTTTATTAGGTATACCTGTTCAATTTCTTGGTAATACAAATTGCTAATCAGCCAATCACATGGCAGCAACTCAATGCATTTATGCATCTACATGTGGTGAAGACAACTTACTGAAGTTCAAACCAAGCATCAGATGGGGACGAAAGGGGATTTAAGTGACTTTGAATGTGGCATTCTTGTTGGTGCCAGACAGGCTGGTCTGAGTATTTAAAAAACTTCTGATCTACTGGGATTTGCTCTCACATACATACAATGCAGCCCCTTGCCTCCCTTTCCCCTCCCACATACAAACAATGCAACCCCATTCCTTATACAAACATACAATACAGTCCCATTGGCTTCACACATACACACAATGTAGCCCACATATCCCCCCTCATATAAAATTACTGTGCAACTGCCTGCCCCCTTCCCTTTTACAAACAGTGCAAACACAACTTCTTCACACATACATACAATAAAGCCCACCTGTCCTCCTCATAAATTACATAAATGCAAGACCCCCATCCCCTCACATATACATAACATGCAGCCCACCTTCCATCCTACAAAACACAATGCAGCTCACCTGCCCCTTCCCCTTCACATATAAATGCAATGCAGCCTGCAAAAAAATCTAGCCCCACCTCTTACACATACACAGTATGAAACCCCTTCTTCACACATGCAAACAATGCAGCCCACCTTCTTCCCTCTCTCATACACATAGAAATAATGTATTCTCTCAGTCTCCCTCCCATATACAAAAAATGCAGCTCCCCTGCTCCCCTCCAACATACAATGCAGCATCCCTTCCCCACACATACATACAATGCAATGCCCCTTCCTCACATATACATACACTATATTGCCAAAAGTATGGGGACATCCCTAACAAATAATTGGATTCAGGTTTTCCAATCACCTCCATGGCCAACTGTTAGTGGTATTATAACAAAGTGGAAGCAACTGGGAACAATAGCAACTCACCATGTAAAGTGATAGAGCAGGGTTAGCACTAGCTAAAGCACACAGTGCGCAGTAGTCACCAACAGTCAATAGCTAAAGACCTCCAAACTTCATGTGACCTTCAGATTAGCACAACAACAGTGTGTAGTGAGCTTCATGGAATGGGTTTCCATGGCCGAGTAGCTGCATCCAAGCCTTACATCACCAAATGCAATGCAAAGTATCGGATTCAGTGGTGTAAAGCACACTGCCACTGGACTCTAGAGCAGTGGAGATGTGTTCTCTGGAGTGACAAATAGAGCTTCTCTGTCCGGCAATCTGATGGATGTGTATGGATTGCCTGACTGCATTATGCCAAGTGTAAAGTTTGGTGGAGGGGGGATGATGGTGTGAGGTTGTTTTTCAGGGGTTGGGCTTGGCCCCTTAGTTCCAGTGAAGGGAACTCTTAAGGCGTCAGCATACCAAGACATTTTGGAAAATTTCATGCTCCCAACTTTGTGGAAACAGTTTGGGGATGGCCCCTTCCTGTCCCAACATGACTGCGCACCAGTGCACAAAGCAAGGTCCATAAAGACATGGATGAGCGAGTTTGGGGTGGAGGAACTTAACTGACCTGCACAGAGTCCTGACCTCAACCCGATAGAACACCTTTGGGATGAATTAGGTGTCCATTTATGAACCAGCGATAAATGATTGCTGCTCAGTTCTCCGGCATTCTCGGAGAACACAGTTCTCCTGTGAATGCCTTTTATGAAGCAGTTCTCCGTACGAAGGGAGAACGGTCTCCAAACGCTGGAGAACGGTCTACAAAGGCTGGGAAATGGCTGATTTTACTATAATCTCGCGAGATTACAGTAAAAGATCAGTTTACTAAGCAAAGGTAAATTATCGCTGCTTAGTTTGCGGTCCCTCCGATTCTCCAGCTCTGGGCTGGAGAATCTGGAGGGAGAACACAGATCTCCAGTGAAGGGCTGAACATGTTCTCCGCTGATCTCCTGAGTGTCATAAACTGTGAATGACCAGAGAATAGCTGCGGTCCTCTGAATCACAGCTATTCTCTGTGTCATAAACGGACACCTTAGAGCGGAAACTGCGAGCCGGGCCTTCTCGTCCGACATCAGTGTCTGACCTCACTAATGCGCTTCTGGACAAATGGTCAAACATTCCCATAGCCATACTCCTAAACCTTGTGGACAGCCTTCCCAGAAGAGTTGAAGCTGTTATAGCTGTAAAGGGTAGGTCAACTCAATATTCTTTTTGGACAGCAATGGCTTCCTCCGTGGTGTCCTCCCATGTACTCCATTCTTGTTTAATGTTTTCCTTATTCTAGATGTGTCAACAAAAATGTTAGCATGTGCCAGAGATTTCTGTAGGTCTTTAGCTGACACTCTGGGATTCTTCTTTACCTCATGCAGCATTCTGCGCTGTGCTCTTGCAGTCATTTTTACAGGACGACCACGCCTAGGGAGAGTAGCAGCAGTGCTAAACTTTCTCCATTTGTAGACAGTCTGTCTTACCGTGGACACATGAACATCAAGGCTTTTGGAGATACTTTTGTAACCCTTTCCAGCTTCATGCAAGTCAACAATTCTTGATCGTAGGTCTTCTGAGAGCTCTTTTCTGCGAGGCATGGTTCACATCAGACAGTGCTTCTTGAAACCAGTAAACCCAAAACAGGTGTGTGTTTTTTTAAGGGCAGGACAGCTGTCAGCAACACATCCAATATCATCATACTGATTGGAGTCAAGATTGGCTCACTCCTGGCTCTAATTAGCTCTGGGAGAAGTCATTAAGCTAGGACCTCACATACTTTTTCCTCCCTGCACTGTGAATGTTTACATGTTATGTGCAATTAAACCATGGCAACATCTAATGTTTGTGTAGTATTATGTTCAGCAGACTGTGTTCTTCTATTGTTATGACTTAGATGAGGTCTGGAGCACATTTTATGCCCAATTCATGCAAAACTCCACGTAATCCCAAGGGGTTCACATACTTTTTCTTGCAACTGTACATGGACACAATGCAGCCCCCACAACAATAACTCCCAGAAGTTCTCCTAAAGATGTTGGCAGCCTTGAGTAGGCATAGCTACAATCTGTGCAGAATTAGAAAGTATTCTTGTTCTGCTTCCTCCTAATGAGGATTGCAGGCTGAGGGTGGCACAGAGAAATCCTTCTAGGGCAGCACTACAGAGGCAGCTGGCAAGCTCAATGAGCTGTCCCTCCTGCCCCCCTCAGTCTGACCTTGCACTATACTAATACACTATGCAAATATTTTATTTTTACTTTTTTTCTCACCTCTATTTCTAGGTTAGTATACTTTTACAACCCCTCTCTACTTTGGCCACTATGTGCCATTTATTAGAATGATCTTGGAATAAGCAAACACAATTGTTCAACCAGCTTTATTTCTGAAGCATGAAAATGCTATGACAGGAAGGTCCATCCCAGATGGACACATCTTCTGCAAAGGTACATAGCTCGGCCAGCATGTATCTGCGGAGGTCACACATCACCTTTAGACAAATGACCATGTCCTTATCCAATATTACCAACAATTATCTTATGTCTCACATACTTATAATTTCTGTGGCAGTCTATTCCCTTCAGTTCTCTGCTTTCTCACAGAAAACCACACTAAGGGGGTCATTTAAAAAGGAAAGCAGATATCCCTATCCACAATCCACTATACACTGCAAGATTACTTGATCCTTAACATATTGACTGCATTGAGAACCTAGAGTTCCTCATATAGTTAATTTGATATTAAACCTAAAAGCAAACATTTATTATCTTGCAGCTTACCAATTCTTAGATATGATGGCTGCTTTAGTTTTCTTTTTAGGTCTCTTCTTTCTTCTATTTTCATCTGGTGAACCTGCCAGTAAGTCTGTTGTTTTTCAAAATAACAAGCTCTCTTCCAGATGTAACAGTTTACAGGTTTGAGACACACCATTTACCACTGGCAGGGGTGCTTACAATGATCAGCTTTAATTCATGTAAAACAAAAAAGGAAAAAAAAAGTGGTTTGCTGTAACTGCTCATAGCTAGTGAGCTGGAGTTTGGCTTCAGTTTTATCTGATCATACATTTAACACAAACCCCCCTTCCCCCTTTAGACTGACAATGCTGTTGTCTTATGTGCCTCCTGTGCTCATTCATCCAGAGTAGGGGGCAATACAGGACGTGTGTCACAGGCCAGATTACCAGGTGAAAACAAAATGAAAAACTAATACAGCCACCACATCTAATGATTGGTAAGCTACAATACTTAAAATTTTTGGTTTGGGGTTTAATACTGGCCTCCCGCCAGCCATATAAGGAAATGACGGGTGCAAGGCGGTTCTCTCATTCTGGGAGGACGTCATATGACATCCTCCCACTCTAACTGCACGTGCACAGCTCCGGGGGCATGCAGCGGGGCGATCGGTGGTGCGCTGTGTCCCTTGGACACAGTGGATCACCGATCAATGGAAAGAGCCGAAGACATCGGCTCGGTCATGTGATCAGCTGTGTACAATCACAGCTGATCGCATGTAAATATATAAATGCTGGTTATCGGCATTTCTCTCCTCACGAACTGTCAAGCTGACAACTCGTGAGGAGAGGAGAGCTGGTAATCGGCATTCCTCAGAGGGGACATGTACACTGATCATCAGGGCACTGATGATCAGTGTGCCCTGATGATCAGTGTAGCCCCAGCAGTGCCACCTGTCAGTGTCCATCAATGCCAGCTGTCAGTGCTCATCAATGCCACCTGCCAGTGCCCATCAGTGCCACATCAATGCCGCATATCAGTGCCTACCAGTGCACATAAATGCCACATATCAGTGCCCATCTGAGCTTCCTTTCAGTGCCACCTATCAATGCCAGTCAGTGCCAACTATAAGTGCTGCCAATCAGTACCACCTATCAGTGCTAGTCAGTGCTGCCTATCAGTGCCAGTCAGTCCTGCCAGTCAGTGCCACCTATCAGTGCGCATCAGTGCCGCCTATTAGTGCCTGTCAGTGCTGCCTATCAGTGCCACCTAACAGTGCTAGTCAGTGCCACCTAACAGTGCCAGCCAGTGCCACCTATCAGTGCCACCTATCAGTGCCATATATGAGTGCTGCCTTTCAGTGCCCATCAGTGATGCCTGCCAATGCCCATCAGTGCCACCTACTAGTGCCTCCTCATCAGTGCCCATCAGTGCCACCTATCAATGCCCATCAGTACAGCCTATCAGTGCCCATCACTGCAGCCTCAATAGCGAACATCAGTAAGGGAGAAAAATCACTTATTTACAAAATTTTATAACAAACATTTAAAAAAAAGTTTTTTTTCAAAATGTTCAGTTGTTTTTGGTTTGTTTAGCAAAAAATTAAAAAACCCAGAGGTGATTAAATACCACCAAAAGAAAGCTCTATTTGTCTAAAAAAAAATCATAAAATTTCATATGGGTACAGTGTTGCATGACTGCACAATTGTCATTCAAAGTGTGACAATGCTGAAAGCTGAAAATTGGTCTGGGCAGGAAGGGGGTATAAGTGCCCTGTAGGCAAGTGGTTAAGCAAAAAGTGAAATGTTCAGGGCTCTTTTTTTTTTTTCCTAAGAAGCATGCTGTGGTACTTTAGTTAACAAAGATTGGTCTACAAATGTGCATTGTAGGTGTGAACACTAGTTGATTGTCAGAGTGAGGATTGTGTCTCTACACTCACCGACAGCCATTGCAAAGACAGAGATTCAGTATAAGCAGCCCTTTGGATGGCTATTACTCAAAGATGTAATGAAAGGTCATCCTGAGTTGACCTTGTAACATGAAAGTCGTTTTACAGACACCTGTGGATCTTGTTTCTTTGTGCATAATTAGTAACCAGCCTATTGTCATGATACCACTGATTGCCAAATTTTGTTCAAAAGATAACATACATAAAAATGACTTGTCAGTTCAAGAATGCACAAAGAAAAACAAATCAGCAATAGAGAACACAGCTGTAAATTCTTTTTTTAGGAAAAGAAAGAGGGTGCCACAAAAAGATTATAATTTCACTGAAAACAGCATGGCAAGTGCAATGCGAGTTAACAAGACAAATAACACAGAGGCTGCAACAGAAGCAGGGAGCAGCTGTTTAGCTGAAGGCCTGCTTTGCACCACTCCATGTACTGTCCATGGACTTAGAGAACCTTGAACTAAAACTAGCTTGGTCACAGATACAAAGTTTCATTAAAAAGACACAAAAGCAATGTTATCGTATTTTGTTTCCCCTCTTATGTTTCTTCTTGTTAATAATTTCTTTATTCTCCGACTGCAGTATGTTTTTATTAGTATACTAAGGCAGGCCATAGGTGATGAAATTGCTTGATTCCTTCATCAACACTGACTGCCTCCCTTGGAGCTATTGTGTTCTTCCAGCAGGGGGGCATGAGGAGTTTTCCCTGCCAGGAGAACACAGTGATTATTGCCAGGGGCTATAGCTGCTGGCAATAATCACATGTAAAAATATGACAAGACGTTTTTACCCAAGACAATCAATGGATTGACTTGGGTGCAATCAGCCTGTCCACAGATGGTTTGAATCTTGTCCCTGCTGAACCAGTCGAAATTCAAACCATCTATGGATGGCTTAAATGACACAGTTATGGCTTCTGAACCCTAGTTCACACTATGCGGGCTGGTTGTGGATGCGGGAATCACATCTGTATCACACCCCAACCACCCACAGCTGAATCACATTGCTGTTACAGAACACTCAGGCTGCCATTCATTCTGTATGGCACCCCTATGCACCTGAGCCCCCAGCATGATTGCAGGTGCGGGAACCGCAGGGAAACTGTGTGGTCAAAAAGATCACATGGTTTCCCTGTGCAATGTTTTAAAAAGCTGCATGCACCTTTTTTGTTGGGGAAACACGGGCACAGCGGCCCATTCAAATGAGCAAATGTGGGCCACATGGCCCGCAATAGTGTGAACCAAGCCCAAGGGCAAAGTATATTTTACTTTAAAGGGATTTACACATATTTCCAAAAGTATATCCACTGTGAGAAGGACAGTTTTGGTGATTGCAGAGGGTAGATTGGAGGAGCGTAGCAGGCCAGGAAACTGTAGAGCATGCCAACTATTGCCTGGCTACACAGAAGTCACTGAGGCACACAGTGGGTGCAAAAGGTAGATGATAAGGATAACTGAGAATATAAGAGATTGCACTTCTTGGAGGCACAGAGTAGTTCTTGAAGACATAGAGACAAGCTGATGGCATGGGGTAGACTTGAAAACATAGAGGTGTACAGAGATGTGCTGGAGTCACAGGAATGCACTTGGAGATACTGGGATACAAGAGGAGACAGCCACACAGCAGCACACTAGGTAGGTCTTGAAGACAGAGAGGCTGGTGGCACAGGGGTACACTTGCAGAAATGCACTTGGAGATACTGGGATACAAGAGGAGACAGCCACACAGCAACACACCAGGTAGGTCTTGAAGACAGAGAGGCTGGTGGCACAGGGGTACACTTGCAGACTCATAGGCACACAGAAGTAGTAGTAGGCCTGCATTAGCCCTCACATGAACAGTGTGGCTGGCTGATACACATGAAGCTTCCAAAGCCTAAAACTATGCGTGGGAGTGCCTATACATTATGAGTGACACCAGTGAGTTTAAATGCTCCACACATGTAGAGGAAACTCATCCTGTTCCCTACTGTCACTCACAGAGCACTGAGGGCTTCACACACAACAGCCAGACACCCTGGTGGGCCAGGAAGGGGATGAGGGAGCAGTGGATACTATAAGTAACTACTTTTATAACTCATTGCTAAAGGTTATATGCCCCCAGTTTGCTAATTCTCCACTGTCTTCACTGTCATCTGAGAACCTCAGGGGCGATCTGCTCTCGACAATGATAAGGTTGCAGTAGGCTAAGCTCAGCATTTTTTACTTATCTACATTTGCATGCTGTTGACATACATTGCTTTAGAGATTATGTTACAGTATGTAGGGCACTGAAATATTGAATAATATGCCTTCTAGTGGATTCTTTGTGGAAATGCATACAGAAATTGCAAACCAATGACAGATGCAAGATCTTCATGCTGAATCCTGAGACTGAATCCTAACCCAATCACTCTCTTAATAAATCGCTGTTTGGTGTAGTTATTCTTTTAACAAGGTCAAGTGTAAAGAACTCTTGGGTGTAAAGTGCATTAAACTCTACAGTTATCAGATTTAACTTTCATTACAGTAGGCAATCCTACTTTAGGAAAATGTATTCATTAGTTGTTATAAGTTACTGCACTTTGCAGTTTGCTTTTTATTTTATTTTAACACCCCCCCTTCCTCCTATAAATATATCTATAAACTAAATACAGATGCCCTGCCATATCATGCTAGCAAATTTCCTTGCATATAAACCTGTGGGAATTTTATGAGGGTAGCAAATCATTTTTTCAGCAGCACAGAAGTTCAGGACACATTTTTTAACTAATTTTTCAGCCTTGCCCGGTCAATGTACAGTTGTTAGGGCTAATGCAATATTTTTGCACCTAGCACACTTTGACAAATGACCCCCAAAGTATTTGAAGATTGATTGCAGTTTCCAGTTACATTGAAGAATTTACAAGTAACTTCAAGGTTGCATTGATCCCGACTGAGTTAGAAACCCTTCTGCAGAACAATTCACTATGGTGACAATATACGTAAGGCACTGAAGACAACATCAATATTTGCCAGATATCGATGGCTGCATAAAGGATTGTCAGCCTTGTATGTAAGGTGAATAAAAAAAGAAGCAGGGGAGAGGAGAGCTCTGTATGTGAGCTGGAAATATCTCGGATCTGTCTAAATACTACTGTGACTTTGATGCCCCCTGGCTGCCCTCATGCAATTCGTCTGAAAAGCTTTGTTTCTGTGGTGAGCTTACATTCTGTCTGTTATGACTGCATTTTCCACTTCCCCGTTGGTAGGTGGGTGGAAGAAAAGATTGATTCTTAGACTAAGTTGTAATTAAGGCAAAACAAATCATGTAGCTGTGGGAAGCATGCCCGTTCAACTATTTTCTCAAACATATACATTACTGTATCATTTGCTTCTTACCTAGTACTGCCGGATTACAGAGATCCAATAAATAAATCAGCATCATGGATGTGATTTCCTGCTACTAATTTCATCAAAAACATGCTGGCAAGCAGAAATAATTTTGTTTTTCCTTAACAAAGTTTTAACACTGGAATGTGTTCACTAGGTCACGACTGACACTTCGATAAATGATTCCTTTTTTCTGATTAATCTCTCTCGATAGGAATAACTGATCTATAGTCAGCAATCTATTTGATTGAAATGCCACACACAGAGAAGTGGATTTCAATTGATAGTTAAGATATGATCATTTAGAGTCCTTTCGCTGATCCGTTTTTGGATTTAAAAAAGCAGAAGAAAAATGCATTAAAAATATATCCCTTTAAATCTTATGGAACTCTTTACACTAGTGTGCATTGAATGCAGTGCTTTTTTAAAACTCTTGCATGTTGCATCTTTGTAATGCTTTTCAAAAGTTCACCAAAAACATGTCTCCCTTTGAAATGATTGTAAAGTTGTTGTTTTTTTTCTTAATTAAAATAACAAACATATCATACTTACTGTACATATGTTTTTTCACAGAGTAGCCCCTATCCTATTCTTCTCAGGTCCCCAGCTGGTGCTCCTGGTTCTACCCCTCACCTCCGAGTGCCCCCACAGCAAGCACTTGCTCTGGGGCACTCGTGCATGCTCGCTCCCCTCTGTGTGTCCATAAAACACTTGGGTCCATCCCCACTCCCTCATCACTTGCTCTGATTGACAGCAGTGGGAAACAATGGCTCACACTGCTGTATATGAGCAAATGAGGAGTGAGAGAGCTAAGAGAGCCTTGACTCTTGTGCATATTGCTGGATCGAGATTGGGCTCA